TAGTTCTACATAAGTGTTGTTTTTATCACATTCTTATCATATACCTTTCTTAAATCAAAAATTCTGAGAGGTAGCAATAAACCTTTTATAACTAAAGACTTACGAAAAGCAATTATGCTACGCTCTTCATTATATAAAAAATGTTTTAGTTGTTAAATCAGATTTTTCAGCTCTAATGTACAAAAAACAAAGGAATTTGATGATTAATCTAAACCGAAAAAAAAAGAAAATATATTTTGAGCAAATCAATACACTTTCGACTTCAAATTCATCTCTTTGGAAGCTAACTAAGCCTTTCTTTTCGGACCAATCTACAAATTCTAACGAGCGTATCACTCTGACCGAAAATGGCAACATTATCTCAGACAGTTCTTTGTTGACTAATATTTTTAATAAATGTTGCATTGCCATATTTGCCTATTTCATAAATGTTGCATTGCCATCAAGTATGGCCGACCATATTAAGTGGTCTTTTTCTTCTTGCACTTCAGACCCAGTTGAGTCAGCTATTAAAAAGTATGTTGACCATCCTAGTATAGCAAACATTAAAAAGAAATTCAAAATGAATGCACATAATTTCAAGTTCCATTGTATTACACCTGATGATATTACAAAAATTATAGGGTCTATGAACGCAAAAAAAAAAAAGTGGTGAAATACCAACTTTTATGTTAAAATCTTCCTTAATACACTTTAGGGATAGTCTTACAAATTGTATCAATAATAGCATCTTTGATGGAACATTTCCGTCATTTTTAAAAATGGCGTATGTTTCACCGTGTCTTAAGAAAAATGATCCAACAGATAAGGCTAAATATTGCGCTATAATTGTCTACCCGCTCTCTCCAAAGTTTTTGAAATGATCGTTTATGAACAGATTTTGTTATTTATGAAGCCAAAATTTGACAAACTTTTGTGTGGTTTTCGTAGAGGTTATAGTACTCAGCATACACTTGTTTTTTTACTTAATAAATGGCATGAATGCATTAATAATAGAGGTATTATTGGGACATTATTAATGGATCTATCTAAAGCGTATGATTTCATTTCGCATGACCTATTTATTGCTAAATTAGAGGTGTAAGTTTTCTCTAAAGAAAGCCTAAAATTTTTATATAGTATATTAGTGGTCGTAAACAAAGTGTAAGGATAGGACTTTCTGTTTCTAATTGGGTTGATATTTTATCGAGAGTGCCTCAAGGTTCCATCCTTGGCCCGATTCCTCTTTAATACCTTTATAAATAATATATTCTTATTTATTAAAGATACTGAATTGTGCAACTTTGCAGATGATAATACGCTGTATGCCTGTGCTGCAGCAACCATCGAGTTCAATTTAAACCAGGCAATGGTATTAGTTGCTTTTTTTTGCAATCAAAAAATAACCTTTTCTAAGCTGTAACCACAATAAAAATAATTGAAATTTATTAACGCTGATAAATTCCATTTATTTTTAGTTGGTTTAAAAAACACAAAAAATCAATATCTAAAAGTAGGTAATATAAGAGTTTTTGCCTCTGATAGGGTGAAACTACTTGGTGTTACAATTAATAAGAATCTAAATTTTGGAGAACACATTAAATACTTGTGCAGTAAAGTTAATGGTAAATATTTGACTCTTTCACTCATAAGAAATTTTTTATCCCGTAATAAAGCTACCTTGTTGTTTAACGCCTTCATAATGTCAAATTTTTCTTATTGTCCTTTAATTTGTATGTTTTGTTCTAAATACTATGACAACCATATAAATAGAATTCAAAAATAACCTCTTTGTATTGCCCATAAAAGGTTAGAGTTATCTCTTGATGAAGTCTTAAGTTTTGATAATAGCCCGAGAAAATTTGCGCTTTCTTATGATTTATTTAATGAATTTATTGATTGAATAAATCCTTCATAAATTTTGGATCTAGACAATTTTAAATTAATTAATTGTCTAAATCCAGAATTTATGAAGGATTTATTCAATACAAAGAACCTTCTTTTTTTTGTTGTAGATTTGTTGTAGCGAAAAAATGATTCTACCTTCAAATGACTCCAAATATAAGGATAAAAATTCTAAAATTCAACCTACAAACAATTCATTTGAGAATTACATCGAGGACTCTCGTTGCTCCCTAGTTTTTAAAGAACTAGAATACGAAGAACTTGAAACAGCAATTAAAACATTAAAAATTTACAAAGGTCCAGGTATCGACAATATCCCAGCCAATATTATTTTGAATGTCTTCCCAGAAATAAGTAAACCCATTTTTCAAATATTTAACTCTTCAATAATTACAGGAATTGTACCCGACTATTTAAAAATAGCTACAATTATTCCTATCTATAAATCCGGAGATACATCTTCCTTAAATAATTACAGACCAATATCAATCCTTCCCGTATTTTCAAAACTGCTCGAACGAATAATCTACAATCGTTTATTTATATAAACGATTGTAGATTATTCGTTCGAATAATAACCACAAACAAAATCCTGAATAAAAATCAATATGGTTTTCAAACTCAGCACTCGACAGAGCATGCTATCGTAGACCTCGTCAATAGAATTAGTGAATCAATCTATGAAAAGAAGTTCGTATTAGGAGTCTTTGTAGACTTGTCAAAAGCGTTCGACACAATAAATCATGAAATCCTACTAAAAAAGTTGGAAAAATACGGATTAAAAAACCATACACTGCAGTGGTTTAAAAGTTACCTGTATAACAGACAACAGTGTGTTATTACAGATGATAATTACCACAGTAAATTATTAAAATTAACTTGTGGTGTTCCTCAAGGTTCGATTCTTGCTCCTCTTTTGTTCCTAATCTATATAAACGACCTTCCAAAAGTTTCTAGAAAACTTGAATTTATAATGTTTGCAGACAATGCAAATTTATTTTACTCTTCGACAAACATCAAGAATCTGTATGATAATGTAAACATATAACTCCAAAAATTAAATATATGGTTTAAAACAAATAAGTTATCCCTAAATATAGAAAAAACAAAATACACTTTATTTCACTCAAACCAACAAAGAAACACACTACCAAATATTCTACCCTCTCTAAAAATAGAAAATATAGTAATTGAGAGAACTCACGAAACAAAATTTTTAGGAGTTATAATTGATGAAAATTTATCTTGGAAAAGTCACAAATGCTTTAAACACTAAAATATCAAAAAACATATGTCTACTTTATAAAGCATAACCTATGCTGTCGCAAAGTAATTTAAAACTTATATATTTCTCTTTTATACATAGCTACCTCATATATGCGAATATAGCTTGGGCGAGTACGCATATAATCAAATTGAAAACTTTATATCGACGTCAGAAACATGCTGTTAGACTAATCTACCATAAAGACAAATTTACACACACTGAACCCTTATTTAAAGAAATGAATGTGCTTAATATTTATCAAATTAATATTTACCAAAATATATTGTTTATGCTAAAATTTAAATTAGGTCAAGTACCAAACCATTTTTTAAATAACTTTTTTATAAATAACGTTAATAAATATAACACAAGAGAAAAAGGAAACTTTATTACACCTTTCAGAAAAACAAAACTTTCCCAGTTCTCAATTTCATATCGGGGTCCTTATTTATACAACAAACTAGTAACTAAAAATAAATCAATTTACAATCTAGATTCAATTTGCAATCAAAATTTCTTGAAAAAAAGTTAAAAAATCTGATACTGAATCTAAACAGATACTCAGAATTCTTCTAAGACTATAAATTAAAATACATATATATCAACTACAAAGTGAACTGACTCTTTTAGTGTATTATCTAAATGACTCTTACCTTTCTCAAACAATATATCAAAAATTGTTTATTACACACAAAAAAAACACTTGATTTTTTCTTATCAAGTTTAGTTATTATGCTGCTAGTTATGTCTAATATTTTATACTGAGCTTATTTTGAGTTTATTTTTTATTATGAGCTAAATTTAAAGAATATATAAACATAGTTGTACTTAATATATAATTATATTTAACATAATCATAATAATATATCAAACACATTGTAAGGGCTTCGTGATAAGATCATTACGATCTTCTTGAAGAAAGAGGGGAGAAGTGGGACGCGGGAAAATTGTGACAGCTTGAAATTTCTAATTAGGAGTGGTGCCTAAATACTGTTATTTAATGTAAACAATTAAATTTTTCCCACTCTATTTAGCAGAAATTTCTTTGTTTTCGTGCGCTAGAAGCTGTAATTTTAAAATGGACCTTAAAAAAGTGTTTACATTAAGGTGAAGTGGGACAGAAAAAAGAAATATTTACGCCCCTCTTCTTCCCGTCGCCATTAGATTATTTCGATTAGTGAAAGCTTTTGAACATTTTTATATTGATTAAGTGATTTTATTAGTTTTTACTTAATAATTTGTTTTAAAATGTTGTTTTAAATTTATTTTGTCACACTGCTACTCACACTGGTCCCACTTTACCCCAATGGCACGGTTTCTCTAAAAGAAAAAATTTATATCATTAATTATGATTGGCTGGAAACCTAAGGGTATTGAATCGGTGCCTAAAAAGAAGGTTTATTTGTAAAAACCTGTTTGGTTCAGTTTATACATCAAATAAAAAATATCTTTCAAATACCCTAAAATTTACGTGTCCCACTTCTTCCTACTGACTTTATTTTTAGCTTGAAAATCATACGAACACTGCAATTTTTTTTTTTGTTTAGCTTGAAAATCATACAAACACTGCAATTTTTTCAAAATGTTTTTGAATACTTAGAAAAAAAAAAAAGGTTAAAATGAATAAAATATTGATTTATAAAAAAAAAGTTTTAAAAAAGTTTAAAGCTGCCCCCTTCTCCCCTATTCATAAATCTAAAGCCTATGTCGAATTTCTAGAGTACATCTATTCCAAACGACGCAAGACGTAATTCTAAAATTTTTATTAAAAAGTCAAGTTTATACTTAACTTTAGTAAAAATAAACAGTAATTGTTTATTTATATTATTTAATAAAGTTAATTAAGTTGTAAAGAAAAACAATTTATTATTTTACAAGATTTAAACAGATTTTTTAATATTATGAGGCTTCTAAAATCTCTGATGATTCTACATCCGGTACAGCGGTATCCCTATAAAAATTAGCTATATACACATTTTTTAAAAACCTTTTAAAAAAAAAAAAAAAAAAAAAAAACAGAAAGTAATATGCATATAAGATAAATAAATAAAACAAGCGTAAAAAAACATTTAGTAAATCATCTCTTAAAAGTGGATAATTTAGATAAAACCTAATATACAAAAATGAAGAAAATGTATTTAAAGAAAATCAGCTTTTTTTTTCCAGTAATAAATAAGTTTTAAGAATAAGAAAACGAAGAATTTTATAAATACTAACAATTTTATTTATATCCAAAGATAAAAAAGTATTAAGTAAATCTATTTTTCATCTGATTTATCGATGAAATTGTTTAGAGAAATATCGTTTTCAATTTCAATCTGATTTTCTTCAAGTGAGCTTTTATCCGAATCAGATAAAGAGTTTTTAGGAGAAAATATTTCTGAATTTATTTTAAATTTTGGAGCATTTGAAATGATATCATTCGCTAAATCATCTTTTTTTAAATGGCCAGTATTTGAAACACCTTCTAATAAATCTTTCTGAGATTCTTTCTCAGTTTCTATATCTGAATGTTGTATTTGAGTATTATAAGTATGTCCGATTTGAAGTTTTAATGATGGATCATAATTATCAGTATCGTTTATAGACCGATTTACTTTATTGTTTGTAGAGACATTCTCTTTATTGTTTATAGATGCGTTTACTTTATCGCAATCTACAACAGTATCTTGAGATAAATGGGTGCAAGATGGGTGCAAAATGGAGGCTTGACGATCAGTAATAAACACTGCTTCCGGAGAAGCGCACTTAGAAATCGATTCTAAAGTACATACATTTAAAGTACGTACTGCGTTTTCGATCGAGGACTCTTCTGATGACTCCAATAAAGTTCGCTCTTTAAAATTAAATAGAATAATAAAATTATCACCATTGCAAATGTATAAATTGAAACAAGTAACAGATTTACACTGTTTTACCTGTAGCCAAGAATTGTTGTGCAAACTGAAGGATAGCTTGATAACAAAATATCATCTGTTCCTATGCATATAAAACATTTTTCATGAGCTTTTCGTACAGTAGATTATTGATAACAAATAAAAATACAATAATATATTAAAATTTTATGAACACTTTTAAACCTTATTATAATAATACTTAAACTGCAACCTTTTTTCTAAATGAAAGGTCTAAAAATACATTTTTATATTGACCTAAAGTTAATAAAATCGTTTGGATCTCTTGACTTTAGATCGATCACTTAAAAGTTCTAACAAAATTCTAACAAAAACCTATCATGGTACGATCAACTGATTAAACTAAATAAAAAACTTTTACGTCCTAATAGTATGTTGTTTTTAAAACGACACTATGTTCCCCAACATACTCTGATGGCAATTTACATACTTTGGTATCAAATTCCTTGTTATCTTTTTCTTAGTTGCATGGTTTGTGTCAAAAAGTAAGTTTTCTATTAAATCGTATAAACAGTTTACAACGTACATCCATAAAAATTATAATATTATCTCCTTTACAACCTAATATCATGGCCTACTATATAACACGGCCAGATTTATTGCCTTGAAGGATAAAAATTAGTGGGCCAATTTTATAAAGTTTTTAGCTTCAAAATCAAAACCTGAAGGTTATTTTGTTGAAGACTTAATTGAAGTTTAAATAATTTACTCTATTAGCCTTAATATATATAATATATATAATATATATAATATATATAATATATATAATATATATAATATACATATATATATATATATATATATATATATATATATATATATATATATATATATATATATATATATATATATATATATATATATATATATATATATATATATATATATATATATATATATATATATATATATATATATATATATATATATATATATATATATATATATATATATATATATATATATATATATATATATATATATATATATATATATATATATATATATATAGCCTTAAAAGTATTATTATTACCAAAATTTCCAACCTTAAAATATTTAGACAATTAGCTAATGATAAATCGTGGTCACACCGAGCCAAGTGAAATATTTTATAGCTATTTTAACCATTATTATTGTTTGTTGTACAAAATCTTGTAGTCTCTAAATTATTATTGTTTACTGTACAAAATCTTGTGGTCTCTAAATTATTGATTCAAACAATCAGGAATATGTTAGCAACACTATCATCATTTCTTTTTAAAATGTACACATATTTACTGAAAACAACAACATTTATACTACAAAGGTTCTATTAAGTTTTCTATTTTATTTCTTAAAGAATTAATATATTTACTATGTTGTTATGCGTTTATTTGTCTTTCATGATTTGTCGAACTTTAGAGGCAGCAACATCATCTTTTTTAATGTTTCCATTTTTAATCTGTTGCTCATTATTGAAATAATGTTGATAACAATTGTGTTTACCGATTCCTACCCCATTCCTCATTTTCAACACATATAAAACTGCATATACACATAATATCTTTTCAGAGTTTTTAACTTCACGTAAACTGACTAAAAATCTTCCACCATTCATTTGACGATATTTACTGAAAGGCATTTCAAATAGATCAGTTTAAAACCTGCTGCATACTTATATCTTTATGAAAATAAATCTTCCATCAGACTTGCAGTACCTTTCAGTGTTGTAATTAATGCATTAGTTGTTTGAACAAACAAATAATGTTTAATACATTTTTGAAATTGTAACTTTTTCCATTCATTACCTAGTGGTACCAATTGAAGTGCGAAATTTTAATTCAGTAAAAAAATTTAAGAGAACATGTTTTTAATGCAAGAACAAATGTAATATATACATATTAAATGCATGTTATGTTTTAGTTAAAATGCTAAAGTACACATTAATAAAGAGAGTCCTCGAAATAACCCCCTTTTGCCCGTATGCACACCTCCAATCTTGGTCACCATTCCTCAATTGATTTACGCACAGCATCCATGGATAAAGCATCCCATTCTCTGAGAAATGATCGCTTGAGGGCATAACGTTTTTTGACAGAACCACTATCATTATATCGCTTAATAGTACGATAGACAAAATCCTTTGATATTCCTTTATGTTGCAGCATTTTGAAAATCTGATACGGTTTTCTCTTCCCGTCTAATAATGCTATAACTGCACACCCCTTTCCTTCCATACTATTCATTATGAAAAAATCTACAAATAAACACACAAATAAATTAATAAATTCCAGGAATCTATTCAAACAATACAAATAAATGCGGGAACTATATAAAAAGCACATGCCTGTTAACATGACAAGTTTAAACAAACTTCACACTTCAATTGGTACTACAAAGTATTACATGTTGCAAAACCTGGAAAAAACTGTTGTTTTTTATCCCTTGGAATAGCTGCATTATTAATCCTATTATTTGTGTTAAAAATTTCTTTGAATTAGAAATTTTACCAGAATAATTTCATCAAATTCAAAGATATCAAAGAATGAAAATACAAACCGTTTTGAACTTAATAAATTATTCCTAATATTTTTTAGTAAATAAACGCTGTCATATAAATTGTAAACTTGGTGTCCCATAAAATTAAAAAATATGTCATTAACTTGTTCATCAAATCTTAAACCTAGAATCTTGAATGCTGAAACATTTGTTGCATGTCAGTTACTATAGCTCATACATTAAAGATATATAAAGTATATAAAGTTTCTAATGTTTCTTCTATATATAAACTAATCAAAGAACCAGAAATTTAAAACTTTGGACAGGCCATAGTAACAAGGAGATTGATTTTTTTAAGCGAACCACCATAAAAACAACTACCAGAATGGAAATTACCATCATTATCAGCACCAAATAAACTTCCTCGAATGATATTGGACACTAGTATATATATATATATATATATATATATATATATATATATATATATATATATATATATATATATATATATATATATATATATATATATATATATATATATATATATATATATATATATATATATATATATATATATATATATATACATATATATATATATATATATATATATATATATATATATATATATATATATATATATATATATATATATATATATATATATATATATATATATATATATATATATATATATATATAGCATAGGATGGTTATATATACGAACTGTAGGGGATGTACATAAAGTTGAGCTTGATTGAATTAAAGATGGCTTTGATAAGAAGTTTTGGTTGGTATTAATTGTTGGTAAAGGATTTTTTGGAATACTCTAATGTTATGCGTTTACCTTTTCAAATATTTATCTTTTCGAACATTTATAAAATAATTGATACATATCGCTGAGTTTTCAATGAGGCTCCAATCAGCTAGGTTAACAAACTTAATCCAACAATTTTGAAGTTCTAAATGATTGCTATCAGGAAAACTAAAGACCGTTTTGTATGGCACGTGGAACATTCTTCAATCTTTTGCTTATAACTACTCCTACAACCAACAACAGAACACTTTTTTGGCATTACAAAACAAGCTATTACTTATATTTTAAAAAAGTATGTAATTTAAACCATCTGAATAGTATTAAATTGGTTTATTTGTAAACTTCAAATACGTATTTTTTCAGCCCACTAATTTTTTACCTTCAAGGCAACAAATCCATCCGTATTTTACAGTAGGCCATGCTAATCTCCAAAAAAAAATTTCTGATTCAAAAATATCAATGAATTTCACTGGAATCAATCAATAAAATTTATTAAAAAAAAAAAGGTTTTAACTAAATACCCCTTTAGTTAGGTAGAATTGGAGTTTTACCCTCCACTTTAATTTGGTAGAATTGGATTGGTCCTGGAAAAAAAATCATATAAAGTTATGCTTCTGTGCATAGGTTAGTTAGGATACCAGCAATTACAAAAAAAACCCAAGTGTTTTTGAGTATAGGAAATGCCATTTTAGGCCTATTTTTTTAACACAAATTTCGGAAAAATAACTATCATTTAAAAGATAATTTAAAATATCATTTGAATAATAATTTAATGCCGAGTAAAATGTTTGCTTACACAAAGTTTAAAAAATGTAAGGTTTGTGAGTTATAGCTGCTCAAAGTAGGAATTATGATGTCATAGTTTTAAAAAATATATATATTTTTTAAATCGTAAGCATGATATATCATTAGAAATATAATTTAATGCTAAGTAAAATATTTTTAAATCTCATAATGTAAATAACTTAGTGCTGGATAAAGGAGGAACAAGGTGGAAGGAGGAAGGAGGGATATAGCCATGAGCTCTATACATTTCGTGGCTCCAAACTTTTTCAAACATCAAAAATATTTTCTTCTTAATCACTGCCATCATTGTTTTCATATTTCTCCTCAATGTCTAACTTTACCTAAATTAGAACAAGATATTAGAGTTTTTACTTAATTATCTCTTTCTATATAAATTATTCAACAGGTAATAATTTTAATTCATTAAAATTGTCTTACTGGCTTGTTGTTGCATTCCATCCGATGGTAATCCCCACATGTTGACATTATGCTATTTTACCTACAAATGCGTGTTTATGTTTGGCATTAGTTTTTTGAACTAGATCTGCAAATGCATCAGATGACCTTGAACAATGTTTTCCAGTAAGTAGACTAAGTCTGAATTTGTTTATACAATGTGATAAACTTCTGCAACAAGATTATTACAACTAAACAACCTAAAACTTCTCTTCCCCATTCATCAGTTCTACTTTTATATTGGTTAAGAAGCTTATTTTCAAAGTGGTAACTTTCTCACTTAACTAATGGTACTGTTTCTACTTGCAGCTGATTTAGTACAAAGAAAACAGCAGGATTTAGTACAAAGAAAACAGCAAGATTAAGTACAAAAAAGGCAGCAAGATTTCTACTTGAAACGTACATCTATAATTGAAGATGATTATTACTTCTAATTTGTTATTATTTGTATTAACAAATCTTCTTCTGCAATCATGATGCACAAGGGCAGTCCGGATTGGATTTTCCTTTAACTTTTGACTAAAATATCTAAATAAAGGTAATCCCATACAATTTTAATATCAAATTGCCATTTACTTTGAATCTGTTTATAATTAGAATTTGATCCTGTTTTTAGACCTATTCAAATCATATAATCCTCTTTCATGGCAGATCCTTTTTAAAGTTTGGAGTCCTTTTTTTTCACTAAAACTGATGGAGACTTTACCAAGCTACCATTACATGTTTCATTAATCTCTTTATACACTTTTTATTTATATTTGTACTTAATTAAATTAGTACCATATTTAATTTAGTATTAACTATGTATATAATAATATTATATATATATATATATATATATATATATATATATATATATATATATATATATATATATATATATATATATGTACAAATAGTATTACGTACTAAGGTAAGCAATCTGACGTCACACTAAAATAGCCTGCTGCTGGGGGCTTCAGTACATACATCGACTGACAAATAGCCTGACTCGCAGTGGAGTGCTGCTACATGGACTGAGGGTTTGGGATGGGGAAGCAATTGTTTTATTCACCATTCTTCATTTTTTCTTCTTCTTTTTCGAAAAAAACAGTATGGCTTAAGGTTAGCAGAACAAGTGAGCAAATGCTTATCAAAACACGCTTTAGTAAGTGTATATATATATATATATATATATATATATATATATATATATATATATATATATATATATATATATATACATATATATACACTATCGTTCATAATTATTCGAATGGCATTAACCTTTTTTAAAAGAACTATTTTTTATTTTTGCACTGTTAGATAATTTAAAAGTATTTTGATTAAAATGTTTTGATAAAAATCATAAGAATAATAAAATGCTGAAGTGGGCAAAGCTACATAAAAAATGGACCATCAATGTCTGTAAACATGGACTAACATGTCGAAGTTTTAAATCTTTAGTTTCAAGACAAGATTACTTGTCTGGAAAAAAAAGAAAGTTGAATGCATGATAAAATAGTGTGTATTATCGACTGGAAAACATGGTTGGTGTAGTGTTAAGGTGCGGGGGTGTTTTGGTTAGAAAGCCACAGGTGACTTTGTGAAAATAGAAGGAATAATGACAAAAGTAGTTTACTTGTACACTTAAAAAATTATGCTACATCTTCGGAAAGATGAGTTAATGAGAAGCTATTTATTTTTTCCGAAGAAAACGACTTGAAGCTTAAATCTAAAACATATTTTTCAAAAAATTTCATAAGTTATTTGACGGAGTTCATAAATGATCAAATATTAAATAAAATGATTTAGCCTCCTCAATCACAAGACCTCTCTCTTAATGAATTTTATTGGGAGGAATTAAAGGTAATGTCAAAAACTAATGCCTAATAATGCGTAAGATGTGTAAAAAACCTACTAGTTAGAGGCATAAAATTGACTTCAACAAATTGGATATGTCATTAAGTAGAATGCCAAGAATATATATGGTGGTTATTCTTGCTAAAGGTGATTAAAAGGTAAGTAAATTATAAACCAGTATAATTGGACTTTATATTAATTTTTTTGTAAACCTAATAAAAGGGAAGATAACATATAATTCAGGTAGACTTACAGTTGCTTACAGTTTCTCTCCCAATACTAATTAAAACTTTGATATCTTATATCAAAAAGTACGACCATTCGAATAATTATGGAAGGTAGTGTATATATATTTACATATATAAAATAAAGATGTCATAGTTTCTACTTTAAGCAGCTCAAAAACCATACATTTTTTAAACTTTGCGTAAGCAAACATTTTACTTGGCATTAAATTATCTTTCAAATGATACATATATTTGAACATTTTGGTAAAATAAAAAAATTAGTAATTTTGCCAAAATTTGTATTCGAAAAATAGGTCCAAAATGGCATTTCCTGTTCTCAAAAATACAAGGCTTTATTTTGTTAATTGCTGACATCCTAACAAACCTATGTGTAGAAGCCTAACTTTATATGATTTTATTCCAGGTCTGGGAATATTTTCAACTAATTACTTTGTAAGTAATTTTCTTCTCAATATTAACCAAAATAAGAAATTTTTATTTAAATATATATCTAATAAATATTACAATAATATATATCATATCTTTTATTATTATTATTATTGAATTAAAGATGGTGCTGGTGAAAACATAACGATCAATGGAGATTGCTACAGAGCAATTGTTCTGGACTTTTTGTCTTGACATACAATGACATACAGTTTCAACAAGGTGGTACACCGCTTGTGAGACAATAAACTTGTTGCTGGAAAAATTTCCTATTGGTGTCATTTCAAGAAACGGCAACTTGAAATGACCACTGAGATCAACATTTTATGAAAGTCAAACTAAAATCTTGATATAATTTTATCAGTAAATCTAATGGTATGCTGGTCAATCTAATGGCATGCTGGTTAAGATCTAATGGCATGCTGGTTAAGATCTAATGGCATGCTGGTTAAAATCTGCCATAATATTATTTGATACTTTTGAGCATATACCATGCTATTTTTGACTCGCATTTAAAGTATGCATAACAAATGTGGGAACAATCTTACCAACAAACACTTATTTCCAAAATAAGGCTTTAAAAATAAGTTATTTTGAGAAGCAAAATTTGGTGTATCAGTTCACAGTTTTTTGATTTCACAAATTTCATTGTGGACTAAAAAGATTCTCAATGATGTTGTACCAAAAATAGAAGTATAATGACAAACAGCTTTTTTTAAGTTTGGTTATTTTTTTTTTAAGTTTTTAAAATTCAATTATTAATGTTGTTTTATGCTGCAATTGCAATGCCTGATCTTTTTTCATTTCTAATATCTTCAATTACTCAGTTACTTTTTTCACAAGTTTTATTTCAGTAATTGGAAATCTGTCTTCAATAATATCACAAATAAATGAATTCAATATTTTAAATCCAAAGAACAATATTTACAATAAAAAAACTATACAAAAAATCTGTATAACAATATATTAGTATGTAATTAGGAAAAAAAAAATTAATTTTCCTACTGTTGGTATATCACTATTATAAAAACATCATGATTAAATTTTAAAAATCAAACCTTTCTTTGCACCATATGTGGTCGGCACTGACGCAACTTTCGAATAACACCAGGAATTTCAACTTTAAAAAAAAACTTGGTTATTTAACTAATATTTAGATAAAAGAAAATTCAAAAATTATAAAAATGCTCAAGTCACCAACATTTAATGTGGAGACAATAAAATGTAACAACAAAATAACAACAACAATAAAGTATATGTACATGTGGTATAGTTTTCAGATTTTTAACTTTTTAGCAAATGAAAAGATCAATCTTAGCAACATGTTTTTTATTCTGAATTTAGTCAACAATTACTTTTCTAACATATTGATCATGTTTAAGTATTTCAAATAATCAAAGTACAGTTAATCTAATATTAAAGTTCTTTTCTTTTTAACAAGCACATTTTATTATGAGACTTTGGTGTCAAAATATTTGATAAAGTGTTAACGTTATTCACTTCTATTAATTCAAAATTTGTATACCCCTCAAATTTGCTTTGCACTCTCAAGCATATAAAATACAAAACAATCTTGAATAACAACATAGATGTGCTAAGAAACAAATTCAGCAAATTACCTCTAGTAGTTCAAATTACATTATTTCTAAAATAATACATTTTTCGTTGTTAATTTTTATATTTTTTTTATTTTTAAAAATATTTTAACTGAAAAAAATTTTAAAAACAAAAATTATGTTTATAGCTTAGTAGAAAGAGGCCTATTGTTAAGTAGAATGATTTCATGGAATAATAATAATGTTAATAAAAATAATTTGTTGTTCTTATAATAGGGGAAGTTCATGTACCTAGGGCCTCCATTTACCTAGAGCCACCCCATCTTATTTAAAAACTATAAAGTTATGCTTCTCAGTCAGGTGATTAGTTAGAAAAAATTTTATTGTTTAATTTTTGCCTTTTGATGGTCTAAAGTAAATTTTTGCCGCTGGTATTTAGATTGTTTTACAAACCTAGAGGAAATGTATTTCTATAAATTCTTGAATATCATACTGTTTGTTACTTAAGTACTAAATGCAAAGCTCAATAAGTATCCTCTTAACTCGGATTTGTTAATAGATGACATTTTTCATGAAGCTATTAACTTCTGTACTTACGGCCATATAGTTTGCTTGTACCCAGGGCCATATTTGTGTAAAGAATTTGTTAGATAATGAGATACATTGTTGAATTTTGATTGTAGTAGAACTTTTGAAGAACTTTTCCTTGCGGTTGATTTGGGATTACCTTTTTATGCGTAGACTTAATTGTCAATTTTGCTCAGAATAATTAATCAATTTTGTTATTTATTTAAATGTTGCAATCATCTAAATAATTTTTTGGAAACAATATAAGATTAAATAAATTTTTAATCAAATTTATTTGTCTATGTTTGTTGTCAATTTATTATATTAAACATGTTTTATTATGGAGTTAAACCTAATTTTAATAAAGCAACCCTAGATTAAAAAAAAGCTTTTGAGCCTAGAGCCAATAATTTGTAAACCCTTAATTAATTAATATAAGGTGACTTGATTTTTAAAAGTCTGTCATTTAGACAGATTTTTAAAAATTAAGTCACCTATATTAATACAAAGCAAGTAATATAAAAAAGTGATCATATTAGTTTCACCATATTTAGACAAGTCAAGGTCTTTAATTTGGGCCTTGAAATAGTCTGACCCTAGGTACATAAACGTCTCCTGATATTATCACAATAACTTGCCAATATTTTGTCTCAAATTTTACTATTTTTAATACACATAATGTTTTAAAAATAATTGCAAAATCAATTGTGAAATTTAGTACACATTTTTGATCTAATTATTTTTTTTAAATACTTTTTTTTACTAACATAACTGTACTAGAAAATGTTAACTAAAATAACTGTACTAGAAATTTTTTGTAAAAAAAGAAAGAAATAATTAGATCAAAAGCGTACACCAGGCTTGGTCAGGAAGCGAGTGCGATTGCACTAAATAACTGACCACGGAAATAAATTTAGTTACGAAAAACCAGCCAGATTTTTTAGTCACTTTGAGAACATTTAAGTTTATGTATGTTTCCTTAACTATTTTATTGTAAATTTTAAAATATTTTGCTTTACGGACATACACGGAAACATACATAAACTCAAATGTTATCAAACATCTTTGAGTGGAAAAATAAAAAAAGAATATTCACGAACACAAAAAACCCGCCAAATCTACGAACAACTAATTCTGTTGGTTCAAAAAATACTAACCAAAATTTCTAGTGTATTCTGTTGAAATATTTTTAAAAATTGTTTTATTTGAATTTTGCTATGTTTTCGTTGAGATTTCTAGCATAAATTGTTTTAAGAAGATCAAACAAACTATTATTTTAATTCTCGGAGCCACATCTACAAAGCTATAAATGTTTTAAACTAACATTATTTGTTTACAAAAATAAATGGTTTAAATTTATCTTTTTTAACTTGTCAACGTTTGGTAAATAAATTATACAGTTTAATGTATATTATTATTTTTTATATATAAGGGATGTATTTTTTATGTATGTAATGTATTTTTATGTATGTAATTTTATGTATGTATATTTTATTCAAATGTAATCTTTTAAAGCAATTTGTATGATTGATTTTGTAAACAAAAATACTTTCAATAATAACTGCGTTTTTAATGAAATTATTAATAATCATCAAAGTTAATACAAATAATTTTAACCACTAATCCATTTTCCTCAGTGTACCTGATAACTGATTCTTTCCCCCAAGAAAGAAAAGTTATAAAGTTCTTAGAAATTGGTTTACTAACTTCAATTATTTTTACTTCAGCCATTCTTACAAACTTGTTATACTTAAACTTAAAATTACTTTTTTCTGTTTTAAATACTAATTAAAATTATAGAGCCCACTTACTAAACATCATCAGCGGTGTTGTGAAGCAGTTCCGCTTCCTCCTCACATAGTAATTTTCACATTTTTACTTAACTTCTATCTAGCTAATTGAATTTCTCAGTATCTCAACGATTTAATTATTTCTAATAAATCTTACTAAGAAAAATTGTTTCAAATGTGTTAAACTTTTTAAACTAGGCAAAGCATAAAACAGTTTTTGAAAAAACTTTTTTATTTAATGACCCAAAAAAAATAGTGAATGGTCCTCTTGACTATTTTACAACCCCTAACATTGTGAGTCCCAGGGTTATAGCCTTTCTACCCCATCTCCTCAATCCAGCACTGGAAATAAGTTTAAATAATAATTATAGATACTCTATATAATAAAAATTATATATACTCTTTGATAAATCAAAGAACATTTGTTTCCTTATTAAACAATCATTAATAGTAAGTTGTTACTTTATATAAAAAATGTTGCTTAATTTTATTAAAAATTAAAAAAGTTTTGCTCTAATGGTATTTATCTTGCTTAAAGTTTTTTTACGTAAAAAGCTATTTTTATTTTTTTAACTGTCTCTCATTGGTCCAGTTAATCTTATTGCGCTTTTTTGTTTGTTTTTGAAATGTTCTCAATATGACTAAAAAATCTGGCCCGTTTTTCGCAACTAAATATTATTTCCGTGATCAATTATCAAGTGCGATCGCACCTGCTACCCGACCGAGCCTGGTACATTAAATTTCACAACAGATTCACATTTTATGGAATAGTGCAATGTAATGATTATCTAATGGGTTTTGTAGTTGAAAAATGCTACCTTGTTGTTTTATTTTTAACTTTAATTAATATAGATTTATTTTGTGTTTTTGTTGAAGAAATATATTTTATTTAAATAAATCACTTATAATCTTGAGCAAGGCTGAATATTTTTATTTCAATACAAACAGTTAAAAAAATTACCAGTTTACAAGCTTTTTTTAATGTTACTCACAATTCAAATGGATATTTATATAGTTTTATAAATTTTTTATAGTTTTCTTTTTCTTAGGTATGTTTCCTTCACTATAGCTGAGAAGCTATAGTGAAGGGAACATATCTAAGCTATAGTGAAGGGAACATACGCCTGCTTTATATTAGACAAAGTTTTAAATTTTAATAAATTCATCTCCCCATGTTTCAAGACTACTATACTACAGTCTCTATGACTACAGTTATAGAGATAAATTTTATTTATTTAGGAGGCAACATCAAAACATTATTTATAAGGCAACATATAAAACACCGAAATTCATATCTAATTCTGTCTTAACTACTGCTTCTACTAGAAAAAATAGATTAATACTTGTGTTTCATAAAAAACTAGTTCTAAACTTATATATTAGGTCTTTTAAATATTTGGAGCTTTTTGATAATTTCTTAAAATTAAATAAGCCTAATCTAGCCAATTTTTTTAAAGGCAGTGATCAAACAGTATAAAAAAAAACTATATATATATATATATATATATATATATATATATATATATATATATATATATATATATATATATATATATATATATATATATATATAGCTTTATAAAACTCACTCAAACCATTCTGGCCTCGAATCTCATGTATAGCAGAATACAAACAGCAGAATGTTCCTGTTCTTCCTACACCAGCACTGCAAAAAAGTAATTAAAAAAAATGAGTAAATTAACTATATGAATAAAATTTTGAGGGGATGGGAGAGGGTGATAAGTTTTGGGTTTTGCAAAGCATTCTCTTTTAACAGGTACTTTAACTTTGGTTTCTTTTTATGTGTTTTTAAACGATTTTGTATTTTTCGAAAGCAGTAACATGATTTTTTTAATGCTTGTCAATAATTCCTTTTTATTAAATTATTTTGCAAAAAAAGACTTTTCTAGAACAATCATTTTCAGCGTCAAAGTATACTGATTCATTATGTGCTTTTTTTATTTTTTCCAAATTAATTGATTCATGAGTTAATTTCAGCATAAGAAATTACTGTTTTTTAAAAGATAAGTTTAAAATATGTTATTTTAATTAGATCAGGTTTCTCAAAGACATATATAAGTATCAAAAGTGACATATATAAGGCTGCATCAAATGTTATCAAATTGTGCATAATGGTTCAATTTTTTTTGGTTTTTCAGAAATAGGCCAGGTACTGTGAGACAAATTATTTTTAAAATTTTCATTTTGCTTTCAAAAACAAAAGTGTCAGTATTGACTATGACTATTTGAAGTTAACTTTGTGACAAATTTTAGTTTAATCAAACCTAATATTAAATTATCTTTTAATAGTATTAAGAATACCCTATAGCTTAACTTAACATACTATTAACATAATATTAAATTAATATTATTATGCTATAAATTTATACTATTAACATAATATTAATATTAACAGTATTTAATAATAAAATATGATTTATTGCCTATATATTATGTAACGTGTATTAAAGATTTTAATATATTAACATATTATATAGGTTATCTTATAGCTTTAATTATATATGTACATACCCATATAATCTAAATATTATAGAAAATTAATTAATATAAATAATTTAATATAAAATATATATAATATTTAATATAAAATATTATAATAAAAATTATCTTCTAAAATATTTGTTTGATAATATTTAACAATTATAGATCTCACTCATGAAACCTTTTGTCAACTGGCTTGGACTTGTATGAGATGACCCATTTCTAATTATTTCATCAGAGATTGACTGTTTTGAAACAGAAGTGTTATCATCAAATAACACTTTAATATGAAGCCAAGGACTTGTTTAATTGATTTAGTTGGACCAAAATCAAGCAACATTCTAAATATATTTGGATATAAAAACAAAGATGGTTAGCCCAATCCCCAAAGTTTTGGAAAGCTAACACAAATTTTCAACACATGTTTGAGCATATTAAATCATAGAAATATGTAAATGGTAACAAGCTGTCAAACTAATTCAAGACTATGCAAAACCTATTATAAAGATTAAGATAAGAATCCTTTTATGGGCAGTAAAACATCACTGAAAAATTCTTCCACAGATAAATACACAAACAATTCAAAAACTCAATTTTTGAAAATTTAAACAATGCCATTTTTTGTTGGCATCTTGAGGAGGAGGGCTCAGGGTAATTACCTTGGACTTATTGAGTCCAAGGTAATTACCCTTGGACTCAATAAGTCCAAGGGTAATTACCCAGATCCAATACTTGATCTAAGACTTGATGAGTCTCATCATGGTCCTTATATGTTTCCCAAATTATCATTTTTTTAACTGGAAAAAATAAATTAGTCATTTATTTCTATTTTCCATTAACCAGAACATTTGTAAGATTAAAATTAATAATTGGATTTCTTGTGATTTACATCCAGAAGATTCTTAAAAGCAAATTGTAATCTTAAAAATGTATTTATCTGTATATGTTTCCTTTATATCCTTTACACTTAATTTTAATGGTTAAAGAATGTGTGAAATTTGTTGCTCAATACAGAAAAAAAAATAGATTTTATGGATTTCAATTTTTGAAATATTTTTTGATTTTGCAAAAGCGTTTTAAGTCATGACTGCTAAAGTTAATAAATATTCTACTTAGCTGGCTCATTTCCTGGATTGTAGCTTACTAATCTAATTGATCCCAAAGAGTTAAAACAAATTATCTCTCCACTGACTAAAAATGTATTGAAGCCGGAGTATTCTTGGTCCAATTTTGTTTATTCTTTATTTCTGATATTATTCTTCCACCTGAAACCGTTCTCTATTAATATACTGACGACATTCTAACTTACATAATCAACAATAAAGTTCCTGCCAACTTACCTCAACCCATTGTAGATAGTGTTGCACTATGATTTGTTGTCAATGGAATGAAACTTACTAGCTCTAAATGATAAATCATTAGAATTAATCCTAGGTGCTCCGAAATTCAAGTTATAAGTACTCTTGTACTCAATACTGAGCTTAAAAAAGTAAACAGCCACAAACACTTTGGAATCATGCTCCATGAGAATCTTGATTCAGATGAACAATGAACAATAGCACATAACAATATAAAATCTATACTATGTCTACTCAAATACCTCAAGCAAATACTCAGACATACTTAGCTCAATCTTCTACAAGTCTACAGATCTTATGATATATATATATATATATATATATATATATATATATATATATATATATATATATATATATGCGCGTTTTTTGCAGTAGGACTGCATGAAGTAAGAACAGAAGCACTCTCCTTGCTGACTCATGCCATCCTATAAACACTAAATTAGCTCACCACAACAGCAGAAACCCAAAC